TGAGTAAGCATATGGGAGACAATCATCAGCTCACTAACCACTGAACTAGCATCCTTCCCGGGTGAAACCATAGACATATTTGTAGACATCTTTGTACAAGATATAGAAATATAGCCTTTCCAAAAGAAATCTTTATTTCTTATAGCCTTTCTTTTTTCTTTTTTTTTTTTTCTTTTTTAAGGAAACTAAAGCCACCACTTTTAAAACGGAAACAAGTCTATAATAATTTCAAAGCACATGATGCGACATTTTAAGTTCTATCTGAAATACACGCACCATTGAAGCAGCACCTCTTAATATCATGGAAAATCTTCTACCTAATGTGGTCACATGCAAGTCGATGCATTAGTGCACTGTTATTGTACTATTACTGCAGGTTAAATTACAATTCAGTAGATTTCTTTTGCACTTATGGTTTCAGTTCCACTTTGTTTTATTTTCCTGACCAACTAGTAGGTTAAGAAGTTTCCAGGATGGCGCTCAGAAGTATAAAGGTTGGGTACAACCAGAAGATTTAGTCTTTGTCTAAAGACCTCCCCAGTATTTAGGGACAATTTCACACATTCCTCAAAGCGCTCAGGTCACTTATATCTGGGGCATCATCTTTATCATGAAAGGGTAATCGCAGCAGCCCATGGCTGGATAGCCAGACCAATCCGTGTTTGAAGACACAGACTTCATAAAAGAAGTTCTCTCTCTACATTCTAGCCAAACTTGTCTGGAGTAGAATCATTACAGCCCCTGTAGTCTTCCTCTGGGAGGCTATAAAGATGTTTTCAAACGTCTACATTTCAAAAACGCAGAATCTATTGTCTTGATCCTTTATGTTACTTCGCTAACTCTCTACTCCATAAAACACAGCAGGGCAACGTGGCTGGGTCATCGTGAATGTCTTCTGATAGCTAAGGAGGAAAGCCTATTGTTACATTGGGATAATACAGAAGATGGGATGATTCAGAAACTGCACTAGCCCCTTCTCCTGACTGCACAGTCCATAATGGTTTTTGAATATAAACACAGCTGTGCTACAGCCCTACCAGGATTACTCTTACTCCTAGAAGCCACAAAACAAGCCTTCCCATCTCTTCACTCTGCACTCAACTTCTACTGCTGCGCCTTAGAGCTGCACCTTGCCTGTTCTCAAACACTTAAGCACAATAACATTAAGTAGCAACTGAACAAATTTAACTCTGAAGTTGCTAGCATTCTGAATTTAAAATCAAACCTAAAAGGTATATAAATCTTTTTCTAATTTCCTTTATGTAAATTCAAGCCACACAGAGAAAACAATAATCTGTCATTCTGTTTGTTTTGGGGCTTTTTAAGTGGCATCACATTAAGTTATTTAAGCCCAGTAAAATTTAACGAGAGTTATTCTTGTTCTTGTAACTGTGTTCATTGCAGCAGATACTTCTAGAAGTGTGGTGAAGTCATTGTTTAATTTGTCCCCTGAGACTTTCAGCTATGTAATGTGATATTTCTCTTCTTCTCTTCCAATCTTTATTATTGATGCAGAAGCATATTTACACCATAAAAGCAGAGCAGCTGGCTAGTGACCCTTGGGAATATACCCTTACTAACGAAGATTTTAGCCCCCTCCACTAGTTACTGCATTCAGGTTGATTTAGTGTACTGAAAAACAATCCTATCTGAGAGCACGTTACCTTCTACTCTCGTTGTTTTCTAAAGCTCTACCTCCCTTGGGAGAGAAAGAAAGGCAATATAAAAATCTTCTGGGACAACCATGCAGTAGCTAATGCAACTGCTTGCCTTCAGTTTTGCACTTACAGTTGGAGAAAGAAAAAAAAAAAATGGAAGTATAAAAACAAATTACAAAATTGTTTCCAGGATACCCACAAGAAGCCCTCATACCTACAGGTTAGAAACATTCCGCAGTACCTATGATAAAGATTTTACTAGAACATTAACACCCAGTTTACACAACTATATAAACCTGAAGACATATTTATGCCTGTTGGTACTAGAAGGCAGTAACACTACTTCTGACAAGTTACTTGCAATAGCAGGCAAAGGATCCTTGGTATCCTGGCAGAATGAGAATAAAAATTAAGGTTGTACAATATTAGAAAGATTTTCTTGCAGCCATTCTGTGGCTGATTTTCTTGGCAAGAAGCTGCTGTTCATTAGCAACCTATCTTGGGGAGTGGAATCTTCCATTCTTTTCTCTTCTGCCTCATTGGCTCACCGTGTTTTGTTTATTAATGTAAATAAAACTTCCCTCTATTCTCTACTAATTATGCAAATCTGCAGCCCATAGGACTCTTACCACATGTATAGCTCATTGCACAGTACAACAGCCATTGGGGAAAAACCCTTTTATTACATTTTCTTCACCTTTAAATGCAAATACCTATGTCACTTCTATCATTTCTTCATGATTCCTAGAAAACAAGAAAACCCCAAAACCTCACGCCCTCTTTTTTTCCCCTTAGATTACTGTTTGTTTTTTCAGGTGGCAGAGCTGTTCTTCTCCTACTCTTCCTGCTCTATGTTTGATGCATACATGTAGGAAAGGGAAGAAGCAGCACAAAACAGAGGCAGCAGAATGGTGGAACCCTTTTACCAACCTGGATAATGAAACTTCACACACATTATCTTAGTTTGTCCACTATTAAATACAGTCATTGGAAACAAGGCAAATGGAAAAAAAAAATCCTGTCTTCTGAGACAGGCTATAGGGACTTTATCTTTGTGGTAACGTTGTTAAAAGTAAACTAATAACTGGCTGAGAACATTTCACCCCAAATCCCTGGTGATGCAGGCTGAAAAACACCAGCACATTTAAATGATGCTTAAAAAGCAAGGCCTGAAGGTGGAAATGGGTTAATTTCTTGTTCCTATAATTATACGCTGAACAGTTTTAAACTGCTAGAAAGAAATGTATTAATTCTGAACAGAAATCAGTTTTCACTTTAATTAAGCTAGGTAACGGAAATTAACATTTCTCCTCTGTGGCATCTGGGCATTAAAACTGAGCTGTTTGACAACGATCCTTCCAGCAGCTTTAGACACCAATGATGTAACCAGCACAAATCCCCTCCCCTATAACACAACCAGGAAGTGCTGAGTATTTTCTTACTTATCAAACTGACCATCTTAACCCAACATTCCCACCAGCCAGCGAATCAACAGCCCCACACTCCTTTGGTTGGAGCAGCTGAAAACAAAACAAAACCACAATGAAATGTGCTTTCCATTTCCAGCCAAGATAAAATGGGACCCAGCAGTCCCACCCAAGGTGACTCGTTAAGCATTTCCTCGTCACTGCTGTTATTAATGGTGTGATGGCTGTTACAAACACAGCAGTACTTCCTTAAGGCCTGTTCTGAACACAGCACAACCCGAATTGTCTTTGCTTTGAATTGGTCTCAAAATGGATGTGTTGAAGAGCAAATCATTAACACTGGATTTTGGTGTCTGTGTTACTCACGTGGTCTCACATGCACACCCAGAGCACGAGGTGCAAGGCAGCACCCAATGGCTCTTGCCATGCAGATGGCTGCAAGGAAGAACAAGCACTGACCGCAGCTCCTCTCAGCGACCAGGAGAGTCGAAGAGAGACTTCATGAGCACGGGAGGCAGTGGGTTTTCCTGCACTGGGCAGAAGAAAGAATGGACGGCAATGGGTGTTGTAAAGCTCACGAGCTGCTGAATGCTGGGAGGAGCAGGCAGCTCTGGAACACCTGAAAGGGACGGCAGAGGGTGCGCAGGGAATGCCTTGCAGTTGTGTGGGTCGAAACACCTGGAATGGGGAGGAGCAGCCAGCCTTGCACTGCCTGGGAGCGGAGAAACTTCGCCTATTTTTGGTGCTATGAAGTGACAGAGGGCGGTGAGGGAGGTGCCGTGCTGAATAACCCTCGGTAAAGCGACCTTGGAATTGATGCGATGATTTACTGTGCTCGCCTCTGTGACTCTGTCATAGAGACAGCAGCAAAAAAGAATAAAAAAAAAAAAAAAAGGGAAATGAAGGAGCAGGAGCTGCCAGCCGTAACTTAAACACTCCTGTGCTCACCGAACGCACCCGAGCTCGGAAACTTCGCTGCGCTGCCAGCCTCGCGGGCTGCGCTCACCACACCGCAAAGAGCAGGAGGAGGACTAATTCCTCCCTCCGGGCTCGCCGGCGCTGTGTCACATACCTGCTCTTTTCTACCGCAAAAAAAAAAAGAAAAAAAAGAAAAGCATAGCTGCCGGGAACGAGCGCGCCGGAGCAGCCGCACCCCAGCCTTGCAGGGCGTGCCCGGCGTGCCCCGGAGCCGCCTGCACGGCGGCGCCGCACGCGCCTAGGGGGCGCCGCGAGCGCGGGGACGCGACATAACGGCCCACCGGGCGCGCACGCGCGCGGCCGTTAGGGAGGCGCGTGGACGCGGGACAAAATCCCCCCGAGGCGCACGCGCACGGCCGTTAGAGATGCGCGTGGACGCGGCGCGACGTCCCGCCAAGCTTGCGCGCCCGCGGCTCTTTGCGCCCTCCCTGCCCCTCGCGCACTCCGACCAATCGGCGTCCGGCGGAGGGAGGAGCGCGGCGATGTTTGCAGCGGCGGCCGCGGGCAGGTCCTGCCGGGCGCGGGGCGGAGAGCCGCCCCCTCCTCTTCTGTCGTCTGTAGAGAGCAGAACCTGTCTCGAAATGCACCCCCCACGCCCCGTCCTGATAGTTCCGTACATGTCCACACCGCACATGGGGCTGCGCCGCAGAGGCTGCTGCCCCGCTTAGGTGTAGGTGGGGGGGAAGCCGAGGGTGGGAGGTGCGGCTGCAGCACGGAGCGGAGCGGTGTGGAGGTGCGGGGGGAGCGCGAGGCGGCCAACGGGGGAGGGGACGGCCGGGCTGGGGCTGAGGGGGGTGAGAAAAGTTCAGTCCGCCTTTAGGAGGCGGGGGGAGCACCGGCGGGTGGGGGGGGAGGAGGGGTTCGTTGGCTCAACTTCAAGCTGAGGTGCTTTGTTTTTAACTTGCATCCCGGGTGTCCGCCCGGCAGAGCTACCCTTTCTGTTTGGTGTGCGTGTGGGGGGAGGGGATCTCCCACGAAACTTTTCCCTTTACGGAAGGCGGGACTGGAACAATACCCGATGCATTGTTTGAACGCGAAGACCTTCGGCGCTTCTTTTTTTTCCCCTTTGAATGCGCTCCCATTGCCGCCGCCGCGGTGCTAGCGCGTTGCTTTCGTGTTTACAGCCGCTGCGAGGAAAGAGCCGCCCGGCAGAGCGAGCACAGCCGACAGCCAGAGCAGCCGGGCGGATTTCACCTTGTTGCTGTTTGTTTCGGGAGATGTCGCTCCCCCCCGCCCCGGAGGCCGCCCAGCTGCGGGTTGGCTCCGCTGCTGCGTCCGTAGCCGGGCAGAAGCGGAACGCGTTACGTGCGAGAGGTGATTGATTTTCTTGTTGTTTTTTTTTTTTTTGGTCGCCCTGCGAAGAGGAGGAAACCGGCGCCAATCTTGGAGGAGGAGGGAAATACGACCGGCTGAGCTTTTCCCTACCTCGGGCTGAACGTGAGTTCAGGTGACGCCGCCGCCGGCCTGCGGCTGTTTCACGGCACGGCCGGCTGCAATCAGTGCCGGAGCCGCTCGCTTTACCTCACGAGGACCCTTCAGCCCCTTCTATTGACGGGAGAGATTTGTATCCAGAGGAAAATCGGATTAATATAAACTATGCGGAGCTTGGCGGGGATATCTGGAGACTAACCTGTCTGCATGGCTAATCTTGAAATTGTCTGAAATAAATCCTCGGCGCAAGGAAGAGCGAGATACTTTCAATTAGTATTTTTTTTTTCCCTGTTGGTGCTTTTCTTCCCACCCCTTTACACGAGTTTAACCCTTCAGCTCCGAGGTTTTTGTGGGAGAATGGGACACATGCCGGAAGATTCCCTACGTCTGGTGAATATCACAGGGGTAACAGTTGCCGTCATCCTTGCGGTATGAAAGGTGCTGTGGGGATGTGTGCTGCTGGCTGAGATGGATCCATCCTTCTGTGTTGCTGTTAGCAATGTGCCGAAGATCCGGATTTACTGAAGTACTGACGCCAATAAACTTGCTCCTTCCCTGTTGAAGGCATTGGATATGACAGCGCGGAGAAACATGTGTTTCACATTTCTGACTGGTTGTTTCGGTGCAGTCAATACTTCCACAAGAAACATTGACTTCGTGGGTAATTATAATACGGTGAGGCACACAGAGTGCTGCTTTCAGGCTGCATGCAAAGTGAGCACAAATCAAAGAGCCCTCGGTTCCTGTGAAGTGGGGCTTTCTGTTCCCCCAAAACTCCGGGGCAAAGGCAGCTGGCGATGTTCCCAGTCCACCAAAGAGAGCCTGGCCTCGGGGTGCCGAGTGAGCGATGACCAAAGCGCTGTCAGGAGTGGCAGGCAGTCGGATCGGATGGGGATCAGTGAGGCAGCGATGGTTGGAAGGGAGCTGGATCGTGAAATTATTGCCCGGAGGAATAGCAGGCGAGACGAAATGATGATGAAGTTAAACTTCTGTTTCTTCTTCTGTCGACGATGGTGGGCGTTTCTGTTGCTACAGCTCCACATGTTGCAAGCGCTGGCACAAGGTAAGGCTAGAGACATTTTTGTTTATAGAAATGTTGCATCTGCCTTCCAAGAGGAAAGCGGTTTTACTCGGGTAAAGATATACATTTTCACTTTGTTCCTGTCAGAGGGAAACTGCAGAATTTGCAGGGAGTTGATTTCATGCAGGAACAGTCATTCATTATGCACGATTCTTTCTTGATGGAGCAAGGATTTGCAGATTGTATCTGCATGTTTCCTTTTCTCATCCTCCTATCCTTCCTCTATCCCCATCTCCCACAAAGAATCAATGGCTTATCAGGACCGAATCTACGCTTGTATTTATTTCAGTCTGTCTGTGTGTTTCTGTGTTTTTTTGACTCAGGCAGCAGAAGAGTTAACTGCTAGTTGTGTGTGTTTAAAAACACTGCACTGAGATAAGTTACTAGGAGAAGGGGACTCATAAATCCGCCTACTAGAACTAAAGCAGGGCATGTAAAAGGAATTCTTTAAGCATATGAGTGCTATTCTATGTGAACCTTGGTTCGAGCATTGTTCGTTTCTTTTGGATTGCCAAGTAACATTTACCCGAGACAAAAACTGCAATTGATTCGTATCTGAGCATTTCCACATCAGAGATCCTTGCAGTCAAATGAGTCACTTGTAAACGCAGGGTCAGAGCCGACCAATAGACGTTAAATATCAAGTGTCCGTCACTGTGCATGTAAATTCCCTTCTCAAGAAATAAAAAATTGTCAAACGAAGCTTAATTCTTAATAATCCTTTGACAGAGCAGGCGATAAATGGCAGGCAGGAGCATTACAGTTGGCTGCTGTAACGTGCTGAACAAACGCAGCTTTCACTTTCTTTGCTGGGCTGAGTTTTGTTGCAGTGTGCATTGTCTGGCTGGAGTGGTGTGTCGTACAACGCAGGGCTGTGTCGTGTGGGACGAGGAGTTGGTTATTGCAGCGGAAGTTCATACTCCGTGTAGGAGAATGGTCTTTGTTTTTTAGTTCTTTGTTGTCGGGTATTTCAGAGGGAACAACGGTGCATTCAGCTTTAATAGCTGGATGGGCTGCTGAGTTGAGGGTTGCAGAGCCAAGTCTGCAGTAGTTTGCCTGCTCAGGGTTTACTGCTGCACCTTTGAAAAGTTTGGAGCCTCAGGATACAGAAGGATTTTAATCCGGTGTTTAAAAATGGACTCCACCCCAAGAAATCTTTTTCAGCGCTTTGTTTATGCTGTCATTGCCATTCCCAAAGTGCTTATGCAGAGGCCTGCAAGCCCTAACAGGATATTGTTATCCTGAAACAAGGCATACCTGAAATAATTCTCCCCTCAAATTACAATTCACGTAACTTTTCTTTTTTTCCTTTTGGTGGTTGTTGACAGATGCCAGAGTGACGCTTAGGTTTGGAAGACAAGCACAGATTATTCTTGAAGCATACATTAAAAATGTAGAGAGTTTTCATTTAAGGCAGTTGTAAGGGCAAGTTATTCAGGAAGCAGTGCAGATGTTGTGTAAAACAGTTTTCTGTGGCTGAGTAATAATCCAACAATCTAATTGGATCACAAAGTGAGTTGAAACTTTTTTTTCGGCACAAACTATGACAAAAATATTCTGATAGAGTATTTCAGATTGCTGAGCACATGCAGTAGTGTTGGTCCTATCTCTAGGAGTTACAGGATAAGAGAAGTCCTTAAGAAAAGTCCTAACACCAAGTTGGCTTGTGTCCATCTGTGACCAAGGGATGGGTGGGATGGGATGTGAAGAGAGTGAGATGTGTTATTTCTGAGCAATATTGGTGTGGGTAAAGGTGTGCAGTTTAGAAAACATTAAGCAATGAATGAAGAAAAAAATAAAATACGTTGTTCCTCTTGATATAGTGCAAAAAATGCAGGTAGGTCTTTAAAAATTGGTTGACTCACAAAGCTACGTGAAGGTCTTAATGCTCAGTGCTTTTCACAAATGTCATATTTATTTCTAAGTCACGGTTCTCTTTGCTCTCTGAGTTCAAATGGAGTCTGAAACATTCATCATTGCCAAAATTTAGAGAGATGATGACAATTTTTACTGACGTCCTTCTTGAAAATAGAAATTCTGGTACAATCTCAAAAGCTTTGCATTGGATTGATGTGATCTTGTGCAGGAAAGAATTCTATGGCTCCAATCTTACTGTGTGACAGAGAAAATGAACGTTCTAAATATACAGGCCACAGTTGTCTGTGATGAGAATCTCATAATACTATGCTGTAACCAGCTAATGTTTCTGTAACAATTACTTAAGCATTAAAGTAATAAGTATACTCAAATACAAGTTCTAAATGCTATGGAAATGTGTTAGGTACAGTCATTGAGATTAAGTACGTTGTTCTGTAAAGTGAATGGAAGAAAATATTTTCAGCTCCAAAAGGTTGTCTGAGTATTCTCTAGACTTGAATGATCATCTGTGTTAAAGCAGATCTAGAGGCAAACAGTAGGTGAAATCACTTGTAAATTCATTTTGCACTTAGATTTTCAGCTTCTCCGTCTTCTCTAGCAGTTGTGTTATATAGTTGGTTATAATGACTTATATGATTGCTTTTTCCTTTTCCAAGTAAATTTAATTATTATGAATCATATGTTGGCTTACGGTACGCAATAACAATTTTTTCCCCAAACCTCACTACAGTTAGTGCAGTCCTTCTGGTAGTGGAAGAAGCTGATGGATGAGCAATGCGATGGCCTGTTCCATAGCACAGCCCAGAGCTGTGCTCCCACTGCTCTTCTGGTTGCAGGTCTTGCATAGACACCCCTCATACTGTGTGCATGTCTCACCCTGCTTACCACACTGGTCCATCTGTGAATGTGAAATGTCATGAAAATTAGTGTGTAAGAGTCTGAATACTGCAACATATAGAAGTAAGGAGATGTCTGTTATCTTCTGCCATGATGCCTCTCTCTATGGCATGTTTGTTAAACGTGAGTATTAGATGCTAGCTAGCCTTAAGTCATTGTGTGTCATCAAGTAGTGGTGAGGTGCTAACTGATAATCACCATAATTATCAAATTAGAATTTGCAGGGTGATGGGAGAAGTGAATCATTTGCACGTGGTAACTGCTGTGCTTGGGAGAACGTTATCCTGCAGTGACCTCCAGCTCAGGGGTCTCTCAGGCCTTTGCATGGTCCTGTTGAATACACAGAGCTCTTTGCAGATTGGAATATTGGTTACATGTGAGGCTAACGAACACTGATGGCTTCTGCATTATGAAATGTTCACTGAAATGCTAGACTGTTTGCGTGAAAATAGGAAAATTCTGCTTATTTGAAGAGATTGGAAGCTGCTGGAAGTTACTCTGCATGTTTTAATTGATTTAAGTACCTGTGAATGTCTTATTTTGTTGAAGAATAAAAGATACGTAGAAAATATACTCCTTTTGGATTGATGGTTGTAGTCCAGAATGATTTTGAAATAGAAAAAGCCAGTTCATAGCTTTAAGTTTCTCTAACAGGAGATGGTTATCTTCAAATATTAAGAAAGAGAAGCTTGTCTGATTTTTCTTATTTTAACAGCAATGGAAGAGTAATCTTTTCATGCCACTTGCTGAAATCTATAATTCAGCATTCTACAAGGACTTGAATGCATATTTAAGGTGGTATTGATATCTGTTATGTTTTGACAGAAGCAGTGATATGGGAGGTAGTAGAAAATGCTGCCTGCTTTTTAAATTCAAATATCTGATCTTTTGCTACTTATAAAGGTCTGAAATGTTTTCAAGAAAATTTCCTACTGTGTTTGATGTTCAGAGATGATCAGCTACCTGCATAGAGCAGTGAGGTGTTGGAAGGACAGGGAGACATTTAGATGTGAGCATGGTATTTGCCATTATGAATTACATGTTGAATGATGCATTTCTAATTCCAAAAGATTCTGCTGCTATTTATTGGAAATTCATTCTTGTGTACTGGATTTAGTTGTGTTCCCTTTCTTTAGAATAACGTTTTAAATATGTAATAGTTTTTTTTTTTTTTTTTTTTTTTTTTTTTAGCAGATTAATTATTTGGATTTGTAATTATAATACTAATAAATGGATTTGAAGGAGGAGTTACAATCTCGGTCTAAAGAGAAATGGAATGGAGAGAGCAGAATTTTTCTGTGGCAATATCCAACTTTTAACTCTCTCTGCTGTGGTAAATGTGAGTTTGCTTCCTCTGCTTATCTTTGGCTGAAATATTACTTCCTCTCAATATTTCTGAAAGCAAGTTTAAAGAGATACATATCTGCCAACATTTAAAGTGCACCGCTTCAGAGAGTTTCTTGAGAGTGCACTGTTATTGTGCAATTAGAGAGGCAGCAAGACTGTACACAGGTTGCTCCAAAAGTAACGCCTCCCATTTATTTCCATGGAAACTGCAACATTTTCCAAGAGCACAATAATGCTATTTGCTAGAGCAAATTCTCAGCTACAAAACACTATTTTTCAATGTAGTCACCACCATTAGCTCTGCGTTTTTGCTACTGATGAACAAAAGCCAGCCTGTCATACCGGTACAAATCAGAGGCAGCCTGCTGTGCTGCTGCTGAAACGCACCACCCACCACCTCACTGTGCTCACGTCCACCATTTGGTCTCCATAAACATTCAGCATCAATGAATGTCAGTGGGTGCAATTTTTTCCACATTTGTCTGCACACCTTTGCTCCATCTGCGCTTTCATGTCAGCCTCTGCTTTGTCAGACAGGCGCTCTGCTGCCGTCTGTCATGTGGCAACGTGGAACAAAATATTGACAGGAAGGTTCAACTTCTACTGCTGTATAACCAACATCCGCCTCTGATGTCATGGGGCAACATAATAAAACAGGAGGCATTACTTTTGGAGCAGCCTTATATAGTCTATCTAGGATCTGTTCATACATCACCAGAAGATACTTAGATCAGGAGTAGTGCAGGTGTGGAGGGAGATTGGGGTGGTTTATCCCAGAGTTCTGCAGTGTGTCTTTCACATCACTCAAGAAAAAAGAAAGGGAATGAGTGCTCCTGCTCATAGTCCTTGGAAGGCTGTTG